ACATCCCTGGCCAGATTTATTTCTATCAGGGTTTTGGCTTTTGGGAAGGACCTTAAAAAAAAAAAACAAAACACCAAAAAAACCCCCAATAGCTACTTCTCTTCTTCCTCTTACCTCATGATTAAACTTTTTTTTTTAAAAAAGCTTGCTATGTTATGTATTAGCTATAATTACATTAATCATTCATCAAAATTATGGAAATTTATTTCCCCAAAGAAATGTCTTATTACAAGAGATTATTATTTTATTCAATAGACATCTAAGACCTAGCCAACAGTCCTCCAACACGTAACACAGTATAGAAAATCCTCACGTAGAAGTTCAGTAGGAAAGCTAAAGCTATTTAGTACCTGAATTAATAAACATTTTATATGAGAATAAGATTACTTTAAAATGGTGGACTATAGTTTCCTTGGAGTGAGCATCAAATGAACCTAAGTTTAAAATGAACGCCTACTGTAGTGAGATCTCTGAACATACCAAATAGGGAGGTGGGGGGTGACCGCAAATAGGGAGGTGGGGGGTGACCGCAAATAGGGAGGTGGGGGGTGACCGCAAGATGAAATACACGAGGGATACAGAAGAAACAGTGGATCCAACGGTCAGAAGATAAAAGTGAGAAAATTGAAATGAGAAAACAGAGATCCGGTCTATACCCAAGCTATGTCTGCAAACGTGTGACTTGGGATTCATCTTCCACAGCTACTCAAAGCCCTTAGTGTCTAATGCTTGCATTTTTACAAGTATTTTTTACAAGTGTTACTTACCTTTCTCAGGGACTAAATACGATCTACCAGCAAAACTACTACTTAGATGATAAAAGCCATTTACTTATGAAGAACATTTGTGGATATAACACACCAGGTCTAATTATGGTTGCCTTGCCAAAGAACAGGTCCAGCATATATTTAGCCATAGCTAGGCAAGAAGTGTGTCAGGTAGTAAGACTAGGAACAAAATGTATGGAGGGGGAATATGCACTGGTATCCTAGAGTACATGAAACATGCACTGGTTTGGCTGACCTCATTCTTTAGCAGCGTTCTGAAGTCTGTTACAGTGAGGTTTTCATTACAGTAGCAGCACAGCACCAGAGAAGAGGCTCTTATTTACCTACAGCACCTTTAAAAATGCAACCCCCAAAGGAAGCGACTATATAGTCTATTATTCCCCATCACCGAAGTTACAAGCAATCCACATCCTGCAGTATCCAACACCTACAGCAAGATAACCAAATCCTGTGGGATCCTTGTAAAGGCAAGAGGGAATCTGAAATCACGTTGATTTTGAGCATTACGCTTGATCTGACAGCGAGCAGTATTAACTTCAGCATCCCTTACTTAGTTTGACATTTAGTTCACCATACTCTGATCACATTTTGTACTTTTTATGTGTGTAATTTTAAGAGTGAATAGAAGAAAACTGCTCATTTTGCCAGATGGGTGGTGGGAATTGGGACTTTGTCATTCAAGCAGGAAAAACAATGATGTGGTACTGTTTGGAAAACATGCAGAATATCTTGCTAAAACAAATCAGCAAATAATAATCTTTTACTTCAGTGGCAAAAATCCATTCTGTTTACTTCAAGGACCATGCAAACTCATTACTCACTACATGTACAAGTTATCACCTTCATCCCAAAGAAACAAACATTTTTATGAAAGAAGGCCTGAATTCTGAAATGAAATTCTGTGTTAAAATTCCACAGCTAACTCCATGCTAGAAAGGTCCTCTTCCCAGAGAAGCTGGACATACCGTTTCAGAGATTTAGCATTAAAAGAAGACTGATTAAGTCTCCACAGAGCATTTAATTTTTAAGTCTTCCAGCACCTTATTTTTTGTTCCATTTCAAAGGAAAAAGAATGAAGCAATAGTGTAAATGTAAGCCTACCATTTACATCCTATTTCAAGAGACATTTTGTCACTGCAACATAATTCAATGTAACAGACTGCCAATCAACTGCAAAAAGCTTGCTTAAACCTCTTTCAGCTGAAATTGTCTTTAAAGTGAAGTTGCCCACTGAAGGGCAAGAGAAGAACAGCAGGCATATTTTAAAGTATCTGTTCACATGTAAAAGCATGGTTTTTTTAAATATTTCTTCTATGACAGGCAAAATTTGAAGACAGCTATGCAACATCTGTACTTATTTCTTCAAAAGAAAACATATACGTTACCATGCCATGGTCAAAAGTGAAAACGCCAACATCACGTCCATGGTGAATGTGATTCCGTCTGATAATGGGATTTCCATGGTTTTTAACCCAAATCCCTGCTAATGCATTATTGGAGATCTCATTGTCCTCATAGATTCCCTGGGAAATAAAAGTGTAAATTAAGACAGGAACCAAGAACAGCAAACAATTTTATCAAAGTGAAGAAATTGATATCGAAAAATACCTGTGCATGGTCTGTAATATAAAGTCCAACATTTTCACAGTCGCTGATGTTACAGTGTTTAATAGTAGGACAAGCTCCCTGGCCACTAACACATACTGCAGAGCCAACTGGAAGAAAACAGTACAGTTACCATAGCTTCAAAGCATAGTGTATTTATAAATAGTCTGGCAGTGCTCTTGCAAGAAAAGTTAGCGTGAACTGATATTTAAAAGAGATTCGACGTGCACAGTGCCAAAGCAGTACAAGCCACAGGCAGAAAAAACACTCATGTCATCATTTTGCAGATGCAAAAAACCGAGGTAGGAGTTGCTTTAAAATCACCCTGCCAAGGTTACGCAGCTGTGTATGATTGCCAGCATAGACAATAGTTTATATAATAATTCATGCTTGTGAAAGTCCTCACTCATTTATTTCCCTACGTTAGGCCCACTGTATACTGACTGTTCACAGCAGACAAAGGACAACAGAAAAATAATAAAATTCTATGCTAATTACTGCCTTATTTTACTTCCCTTTAAACTTTCATAACCCAGTACTTCAAAGAACCCAAACAAATAACAATTTTGTAGCATACAAAAGACATACTGTCTACCTAAAGATGAGCAAGAGACAAACGGCACAATCTTGAGTACAGAACTACGCATCAGAAACCAACAGGTCTCTTCCCAACTGAATTACAAAGCTCCTTGCTGAAGCTCCTTGGATGATTTCAGCTACCATACCATAACCCAGATAACAAACTCTTTTCAGGCAACTAAGACTCAGACTGCTCAGGACTTGATCAGATCAGTTCAACTCCCTGAAGTATGAAAACATGAAATTCTGCGGCCACTAAAAATCAATGGCAGATTCACAGTGATTTCAGAAAGGTAAGACTTCATCTCAGGGTACCTGGCCTATGCAACGCACACCTTCCCTGCAATTAAACATCACTAAATAAGCAAGCCAGTACATGCTCTATTAGTAAGTTTTTAAATTACCTTCTAGCATAGTACCACAAAGACTATACTTTAATAATTCATAGACTCATTTACAGAGGGTTTTTTTTTTTTTAAATCCTAAAGAAATTATTTTGATTGTCTAAACTGACCTTATGAATAATACAGGCTATAATAATTCCTTGAATTAATTCCTGCTTCAATTCTAAGTAGCAGGAACTTCAACACATATCTTTTAGAAACACATTTAATTTTGATTTGAATACTTCCAACAACTGAGAAACCATCATAAAGCTTGTTAGCTGGTTACAGGGTTGTTACCCTGTTAATTTACACTTTAATTGCTCATCTGAATTCCTCCAGCTTTAGCATCCAGTTACTGGTTTGCTTTATATCAGTGTATGACAATGCATGCATGTATTTAGTGCAAGCACTTTACTCCTCCAGCCTTCTCCTTGATAAAGTAACAAATTACAGTCAGTATGTTTTTCATTACAACTGAATTTTTCTGCTTTATCTTTTAGGACTTTTCATTGAACTGCTTCTAAATTTTCAACATGTTGCTATGGACACTAGGCAAGAGCACTTTATTCTGAAGCAGGACTAAGCAGAGGCATAATACAGTCTCTCTACTTCTGCTCAATATCCCCACAGGTATAACTAAGGATCGCATTAGTTCTTTTGGCCACTCGACTGCACAAGGGTTCATATATAGCTGTTTACCCACAATGACACTTTTCGCTGTTCCCAGGAATCTGGCCTCCCAGGAGAGACGTTTATCACTTAAAACTAGGAACAAAAGTGATTTGTGTGTATAACTTCGCACTTGTCCACACTACTGTGCATATTATTTGAGAGTGCACCTTCCAAAAAGGGGGTAGCAACCCATCCTCCTGGATACCTGTAATAGCCTAAGTACTCATCGCCTACAAATTTCATCAATATGCATTTTATTTTTTCTCTGCAAGTCATTGATAAAGTTGCTTAAAGTCAAGAAGTCATCTTTGAAATAGCCACAAAAAAAACCATTTATAATTACCCTGCAAGTTATTTTTCATCTATTTAATGTGTGCTCTGGTAACTCTGTAAAAGTCTGATGTTTTAAGATACTGTTGGTTGAAGTCAAATATTTTTCAAGGATCTATGTAATTATCCTCTGCTACCTCCTTTTAGTCAAATGAAGTCATCAAAAATGCTAACTGTGTGACACAACCATTATAAATTTCTGTAAATACACATTAATTTGCTTCAATCATAAATTTTAAATTCTCAATCGCATTATTCTACCCAGGATCAATAGGCAGTACTACTTGCCATGCTTCATCCTGTTTCAGCTCCCCCATGCCCCCATCCCCAAGAACAGACACCACCTCACCCAGGTTTCAAGTTACTGTTGATACATAATAGGAGCCCAGAAGATTTCCTGGCCAGTTCTTTTTAAACTCCTGCATGATTTTAGAATGTCTATTTTTACAGCTGTTTAACCTCATCCACAGTTACTGTCAAGAGTGGAACGTATTTCATTATCCCTCTAGGGTATGAGCACATTTATCACTCCTGCCTATTCTCATTAAATATGGAACAAAAATTACACAACACTTTGCCATTCAAATTCTTCCTTATCTATGATGGATCAGCATCACTGCTAAAAATCCCTTTGTTCCCCAAGTTAAGACAATCACTGTGTCTCTTCTAGCAGATGTTATATGTTCCCTGTTTTTCAAGTTCTTTTGGGCAGGGGTGTTTTGTTGGGGTGTTTATATTGGGGGGGGCGGAGGCTGGGGTGTTCCCAATTTATATTAACTGCTAGTAACTTCTGTTTTCTTACATTTCATAATTGCTTTCACTCCCCTTTCCTCTACCTCTTTTGGTAACACCAAGGAACTGTAGATTTTTGGGAACCCAGTGTGATGTTCTAAAAGCATACCTCTATCACATTTTGCTTATTTACATGAAAGCAATCTTTATTCTGACTCACTTCACTGGACTTCACTATTGATTGTGTGAAATTGGTCCTTTTAGAGTACCAAGCACATGTATTACTGGTTCAGGCTTTGTTTGCTCAGAATATAATGATTGCAAAAACTTAAGCAATACTTAAAAAAGGCACATTGCCATCCATCTCTTGTTTTATCTGTCAAGGGGAAGATTTTAATATAGATTTCCTCTACAATGGATGCAATAGAATCTCTAGACTCAGGATCTTGCCATTTAAACTTTATTTTAAATTATTTCAAAGATGCTTTGGACTGGCAGCAAGAGACCTCCAGCTTAAATCACTCACACTTCCATAGCTCCATCTTTACATATTACATACATTAAGAACTTTACATATGACATAATGTAGAAATATGCTTTAATGCAATTAGGAGATCTACAGAAAGGGTATCAAGCATGTGCTAGGGAAGAGATTTTTGAATGCTTATGGATCAATATTTCAGATGTCATTGACTTGGAAACAGTAAATGCCTGTTCTGGCAGGCTGCCATTCTTCCTCCCTTTTTACACATGCTCAGTACTTCCTGAGTAGGTTATGGCAAGGCTTGGTAGGATTAAAAAAAGTCAATAAAATTAATAATCAATAAGTGATGATAGTACAGCCTACACACAGCCTCCAAAACTGACCAAAAATTTTAACTTTGTAAGGAGAAGCAACAATACAACACAGCAAAAATTCAGAAGTCTAGAGTATCGAAAGGGCAAAAGTCCAAAATTCTCAGAAATAGTCTGCCATAGTGGAAAGTGGTCATGAAAAAAGTTAAAGCTTCATTTTAGTAAACAATTTTCACCAAAACATTAAGACCTACTAGCTTATCTACAAGCACGTGTTTCGGTATGAAGCCATGCAGCTCTTCAAACTACTTTTGTAACCAAGCTGAATATGGTCCAAGAAATGAAACTAATTCCTCTCATTTGTTGTCAGGGTCCCCAATATTGGTATATAGGAACCTTCAGAACACATTTTCTTCGTATAATTCAATTTCCTGCTATTTAGCATTAAACAAAGAAATCGAGATACTGAAAGCAGCTAGCTGTCCTTTGTTCCTCTTTTTTCATTTTTAACACTTCCCCACATTAGCTGATATGTCTCCAATGAAACAGATGGGGATGTAAAGCACAGAGCTGCCTTGATCAAAAGTGAAGTAGTGTTTTATAACCTAAAACCTCCAAGAAAAAGCATATGTTTATCTACAAGGTACATATAAGTTCCTTGCAGAATTCCCTCCTCTATAGTTCATACCAGAAAAGTGTAGTTTTTCTATCTAGTTGAAGATCTCCTTGTTTCCTTGCCTTTACGTTGAGCTGAGCAAACTTTATGCACGGCCTGCTGGGTAGATCCACTCCATTTCACTAGCTGAATTTAGGTATATGAAGTTCATATTGCCATTTCCATGCAAAGACTCAATATCTGAATTCTCCTGTACTACTTCTTTCTGACACTCCAACTCCATTTCATCTGCTTGTGTTCAAACACATTCAACTTGCCACGTCTTACGCCTAGTGATCATGAACTACTGCATCTTCCTACCAACAGCTGTGAACTGCCATCCAGCCTCTCACCTTTTCTTTCCTGAATCCAGACTGTCAATGTTTCCCAAATCAGGTGGTATAAATTCCTCATTATCCCTGATGGTGAAATGAGTCTAACTTTGCACAGTATGCATTTCTTCTGCCTGCATAGCCAGAAACTCACACCTTGACTATGTCAAATCATTCCACTCATGACAGGAAAGTGAACTTAGCTTAGCAGTTACAGCTCATGACTGTTTTAATGCCATCAATCCCAATAACGCACATTGACATGAACCTCATGTAAAAGTCCCATGGGTGCCCCCTTCAAATGCTTTGTCCTGCCAGCTGCAACTATATATACCAAAACCAGGTAAGTTTATATAAACTGCCACTTTTCAGGCTTTAAATTAACTGCCCAGAGAGTCCAAACTGATTCAAACAGAAGACTAAGTATACATTATCACAAAGGTCTTGGACACAAAGTAGTCACTGTAATAATGCCATTTCAAGGAAAATAAGGCTTACAGGCCTGTATTAAACACCTGCATCAAAACCCAAAATATACCAATAGTGATCATAATCAATTTGTGTGCTGCTTCCACGTGCCCTGGTTAGTTAAGTAACTTTAAACAGAGTGTTAATTTCAAACAATGAAAAGCTCACTAACCCGTACAAGTACTTCGAATAATACAGTGATCTATAATTGGACTGCAGTTCACGGTAATCTCTAAGCAGTGGTGTGCATTGTGGTGCTGAGCAGATTTGTCATCAGGGTTGAACTGAAAAAGAAAGACAACACAGCAATGTTGTATTTATTTAACTGCTAAGGCATTAAAATGAAATTATTAGAAGCTCTGCCCAAGTTTTAGATTCTTACCCTGATTGTCATATATCCAACATAGGCATCTTCAGAACCCTCCATAAAAACGAAGGTGGAATCTCTAGTGTTTTCTATTATAACTTTATCTGCTACTTTTCCAGGTGCTGTAAAGAAGATGTTTATTAAGTCTTAGTTTATGCCACTGAAAACAAAAATCCTCAAAAACCTACAGAATTCTGTTCAAAGCCACAAAGGAAAATGAACACTATTCTTGGCACATAGTGTTCATGTCAAAAGAATCTTAAAACAGAAAGTTTCAAAGACAATGAAGAAACTAGTCTTTAACTACGACAATCTTGCAGCAGTTTAATATATAGTACCATGAGAAAAATCTTCTCTTGTACAGAGCTAGTTTTAGACTACTACTTATTACAACCTGAATTAACAGTTTTAAACATGGATTCCAGTCTGGAGACACTATAATTCTGTTACTAAGTACAATTTATTTTGGTATTCTAAACCCTTTTATTAAAGCTAAATACATGCATTCCATCACTAATTTGAACCAATTTAAACAACTAGTTCATAATCTGCTCATGACCTATGAGTGACCTCCCCACACTTCTCAAATATAAGATTCAGTTTTGAATTGCTATCTTCATTATTCTTTAGAACAAAATCTTGTAAGATTAGATTGAACTATACTGCTGAAAGTATGTACAGAAGGTTTCAAAATGGTTCATTCGCAAGTTCCCATAATCTGCAATTTGATTTCCTGTGTCAACAGCAAAGCTCTGCTCTATTCTTTATCCTTAATCCAAGGGAAGGAAATGTTTACATTGGTATGGCAACAGCCAGCAGAGGGAGCACAAGTTAACAACAGTCTTACACCGGTATAAATCCAATGATGCTCATTCATCACAAGCAAGATAGCTTGTTCAATTCAAATCTGCACATTAAATGTGCAAGCCAGAAGAAGCCTTCCTCAATACACAAAATGTAAATATGGAAGTTTCACATATTATAGCAGATAAATTAATCTGATAGCAATTTCAAACCATTTCCAACTGGAGACACACGAACGTCACCAGATATTTGCCCTAAATTCTGTATTTTATTGAAGAGCCTACGCACAGGATTTCTCACCAGCAGATCTTTTTCTGCTGTCTGTTGACACTAGTACAGACAAGTGGTATGTCCTGTTCTTTATCACTCAGGCAGAAAGGTGCCAGTCAGAATGAAGCAACATTTACATCATTATCCAGTTTGTTCTCACTATCTAAAAGCCAGATCTCTGCTTTCATTACTGCAGAGCTGCAAATATTTTAAGGTAGTCTAGCTCTTCATCATACCACTATTCCCTTAGTACTAGATAACGACTAAAAAAGGCTTTGATGAAGACTTGCATCATCATACAAAATACTTTTCTGTGGCCCAGTAACATTTCTATGTAATTAACTGGTTTTCACCATGATGTGAATGCACTGGCATATACACATCAGTACACTTCAGCATCTGAGAAAGAACGGCACCACAGTATTGCAGGTGAACGAAATCCAGAAAATAAATGGAGTCCTTAAGAAATAAGAGAGCCATAAATCAATATCAGAATATGTCCCCCTCTTAGGGGGAGCAAGAAAAAATTGCACTTCACACTAGATGCTCTGAAACACTATCAAACAAAGCAGAGAGATTTGTGGAATTGTGCTCGGAAGTGTTTGCCATGCATTTGGATGATACTCTGTACAGACATCTCCTTCCTCTCGGCGCATGAATTACTTTGCAGGTCTCAGTTTGGAAGGTCCCAGAATGCCCATTATGGAACATGTCAATTAGTAAGAACACTGCATTTAGATCCCCTTCAGGAAAAGGCTGAAGAAGGAAGGGGACTTGCTCAAGCACTGGCTTAATTCTAAATGCATCAAAGAAATTCTCTGAAACATCCCATTGAATCTTTACAAAAGAATTATCCAGAGAAGTATCTATATTTCAGCTTTTGGTTTACACCACTTTAGAAGAGAGAAACCAGTATAAGAAAGGGGAAAGAAAGAAAGAAAAAGGGCCACTAATTTCGTAAGCAAGTAAAACATAGCTCCCAAGAAGTCTATTCATGCTCAGTTTAAGGACCAAGATGAGACCATTTAGAATAATGTAACAGAAAGCCTCTGATAATAGACTGCCTAAAAAATTAAAAATTAGCTGGATGTTGCCTCAGAATTCTTTTATTCCTTTTGAGGAATAAAACAATTTCACTTTTCAGTGCATTAATAGCAAAACAACTGGATTCTACAGGAAATAATTGTGACCCTGTTCAATCGTGTCAGGCAAAAATATGCAGAGGCCCTCTTAAATCTTGCAGTCTGTAAAATCTACAGCAAAGAACACCGCTCCAAACTAGTCTATAATTTTCAATTCAAAGATGCAGAATGGGTATTTAAAGAAGAGTTCAGCATGTGAAAGTTCTCTTGCACTCAAAAAAGACACCTAATTATGACATTCTTTACCATTTTATTCTACCCTTAAAGTTACAATAATTTTTATTGTTTTTACTAATGTTTTGTCTTGATTGGAAAAATTCTTTAATAATCCCTTTTTCACTTACTTGCACATTATTTAAGTCAAATGGAAAACATATCTCCTAAAATACAGAAAAAACACACAGTGAAGATTCTCAGATCAGGACACATGTCTGTGCAACTGCTGAAATTCAGCTATTAAGACAAGAGACTTCGTGTCTTGAGTGAGATGGAGCACCCCATGGAAGGCTTGTATTCCTGCAGTAATCTGACACACACACACAACCTCACCCTCCCCAACCCTGGAAAACAGAATTCTTTTAAGAAATTCATAGGTGTTTCTCTCCCCTCAACCAGATGCATCAATTTCCTTACAAGACCTCTAACTCTTGCTTCTCACTTGACAGTTCAGATAAGCCACAGTACTAGTAATACTTCCAAAGGCTTCCCTTCTGAACCTGACTCCTTCCTTTATTTCTTAAGGAAAGAAACAACCCCAAAATTAAACAGAACAACAAACCTAGAATACCAGGCATCATTCTGTAAGAACATTTTGCTTACAGGAAAAAGAAGGTTCTTGAAAGCTCGAGGTATGTAATGCTGCCTTTCTAATAATGCTGTGCTTCTTCAGAAGTCAGCAGAAGAAACTATTAAAGAAATTTGAGTAGAACTGCAGAGATTTGGTGCTGCCTTAATCCTACCATTCTGAAAAGCATGCCAGACTGAACAGAGAAGAGGTAGTTCTCCAAGGCTTAGCGGTTCACTTTAATTTGTTTTCTTTTCCAGGCAAATGAAAATTGACTCCCTCTACAATGTCACTGACCATTCAGTGGAGAAAGTCTAAGGAAGTGAAGAGACAGCAGTGCCAGAAACTGAAATATATCTAGCATTTCTGGATTCCTCTTGGAGGTTTTGTTCCCCGAGACAGCTATTCTGTTACAGAAATACATAATGCAGATCCCTTGCTTTTAAAGAACTGTAATTAAGATAACCTAAGTTATTCAGAAAAACAGTTAATTCCAGTGGAAAGGAAAGTTGAGGGTCTTTCAAAACGTAAAAGGAACCGGAGAACATGCAGAAACTTAACCAGATATTGAAGATTCCGTTTCAAGAAGTAATGAAGAAATTTTGTATCTCAGGACAGTGCTGATCCAGTTTCTTCTGGATTTTAAACACTTCACAAATATGACTTGCCCTGTTTGTACTGGCATCTATTACTGTCATTCCTTATCTGAGACAGAAGCCAAGGGTATTCTGTTACCTGTCTGAGGCTACGTCTGCATTAGCAAGCACTACAGCAGGACAGGAGTGGTGCTACAGAGAGAAATAGCGCTGAGAATCAGACATCCATACCACGTGCGTTGCAGGACAGGGAGGGCAGAAGAGACTGTGACTTTGGACTAGCCCTAGCCTGGTCCCTCTGACTGAATGCACACCAACTATTAGAGTGCAGTAGGAGTATTCCAGGAACAAGTCTCTTGGATTAGTCTCATCTGAAAGGAATCCAGTTTGTGCTCCAAAACCTCTCCACAACACAAACCAAAGCACTGTAAGTGGGGACATTCAGGATGTTAGCTTCTAGAAATGTAGTTGTGAACTGACAAACTAACGTACTAACACAGCTGCATCTTGCAGATCTGCAGGGACAAGTGTTAAGACTGACACTGGAACAATCTGACTGCATTGGTCAAAACCATTCTCACTGCCAAGACTGCAAAACCCAGGCAAGAAGTGCCAGAATAAGTTCACTCGAGAACAAAGCAGTTGATATGCAGAACAAATAGATACCTGAGAAGAGGGGCTTTTTTTAAAAAACAAAACAAAACCAAAAACCAACCAACCAACCAACCCAGACAGACTGTACCTCAGAAAAAGCAGGCAGAAGGCAATTAATTTCTGGGTCACCACAGGAGTAAGAGGTTCGAGACCTGTTAACTGAGATCTCTACCAGACATTAAGACAGTCTAAATTCTTACCACTCTATCGTGCAACTGAGGATTAGCATGCTCACAGTAGGGACAGGACAAGCAAACAGTTCCACAAGCACCACAGTTTGTAGACAGGTGTATTAACTTCCTAAACCTTTCCTGTTCTGAAAGTCTTACTTCCTTCTCCATAAAGGTTCTCCTTCAGAGGAACAGTTGGAGACGTACAGTATAGAGAAAGAACCTCCAGTCTCACAATCTTTCTGCTTGATGCTCTCATTTCCTTCCTTGAGATGGAATTATGATGCTGAAGAAAATGGGACAGATACTAATTTGGGCTTGCTCCCACTGCTGGATTCTACTCTGGAGATAGGTTATATATAAACAAATTTCATAAGAACCACCTGAAAATTTCAACTGCAGTCATGTAACTGAGTACACTTTCTGACAAATTCAATTTTTTTCTCCTAATGAAATAGAAAGATAAGTAAGTTATTCCAAGAAGTAACAAGCAGAGAACAGTACTTCAGTCTGAAGCATCAGCTACTTTTTAGTTAGTGACACTTGTACAGAAAATACTTATTTACTAGGCTGATGAAGAAAGATGGGCATTTATAGTGGATATTTAATACACCAGAATATCTTTGTAATTAAGGTGGCAATTAACAGAAGTCATACTTTGAGAAAAAGCATCTCTGCTTAAATACCTGCACCGATCATGGTGATTGGAGATTCTATATATATCCATTCATCAGTATATATACCAGAGTGAACAAAGATAAGTCCATCAAAATGAGCTTCTTGAACTCCACCAAGAGCATCCTCAATGGTATCGTAATACTAGAAGAAAAGGGACAGGTTTAGAGAGAAATATCCATGCAAAGATATATAAATATTCTTAAGAGCTGCTTTAGAAACATACCAACATATTTTCTCTTCCTTTATATCTTGCAGGATTACTGTAGAAGTGTTCAGCAAAACCTGGCTTTACATGTGCTCCTTTGTACTGAAACAAGGAAAATAGTTTATGATAAACTTGCAGACAGGTAGCTCTGAATGCACAGATGAGAGATCCTACTAATCCGCAGCCATTTGCTGATATCAGTTTGTTCCAGGAACTAAGGATCATTTTCTGACCTTCCATATTAGGCACCCAATTTGAAATGGCAACACCAAAAAAATTCTGAGCATAAAAGAGTGAGCAAGCAAACCAAGAAGCTAACCTACTTACACAGCTACAAGGCCCCTAAAGTGACTGAAAAGCTTTGTGTACGTTTATCCACTCCACAACAGATGTTATTTCCATCTTTTGATTCTTCTAGCAGCTTGCCACAAAACAAACTGCGTTTATATGGTGAGGATAAAAGAATCCTATACCGTCACATTTGATTAAGTACTGAACAAAGAAACTAAGTCAAGTATTTGTCCTCAACAGGCTTCAGAATTTCATTAACCAATTACATGCACCATTGTATTATACACTCACCTTGATATTTATTTCCTTACTTATATTTTATAAATATCATGCCCAGCCATTCTTACAATACCTTTGACATTTTGGATCAGAGGTTCAATCACATGCCCTAAAGGTAATTTGTTTAGCTTCAGTCAGTCAGCTGTAAATCACTACTTAAGCCCAAGTGGTATTATCAATATACCATTTGGTTTACTAGAGGAAGATGCATACGAATCTGATAACCGGCATGCACACTGGTTTAATAATATATGACAACAACAATATATTTGTGAGCAACAGACCATGACAACCTCTTCCATGTAATTTCAGTGATGCTAAAAACGAGGAAAACCCAAGATAGAAGAGCTGGATGCTCAAGTGCCCCACTTTACCATGATGTCTCTCCCTAAAGTGTGCCTTAAAACAGGAAATAACTTCAGATATTGCCCTACTGTATAACACAGTACAGGGATCTCTCCCCACCTCCTCAGTACCATCACCTTAAAGTCTAAAACCAAAATAATTACTATCGTCACCCACATTTCAGGAGTTGAGGCTTTTACTTTTAAAAACCATCTTTAAATTGGAGTATAAATAAATACTACTGTTACCAGTTGCTGAAAGCTTTCTTTCCAGGGATTTGGATGTTCATATTCTTCTGGATTAATCTGATAAAATTTACCAGGTTCGGGATGCATCATTGGACGAGTGTACTCAAATACTTCCATGTACAATCTTTTCCTGAGCAGAAGTGGCAAGCAGAAAAGAACATTAATGTATTTCTGATTATTCTTCCATTTTAATACAACACACCAAACCTTAAAAACTGGGGGTTTTCCAACAGCATTTGCCAGTCTGTGACAGTGAATTTCACCAAGATCAGTACCAACCACTTTAAAATACTTCCAAAACATTTTTTTCCATTGGACTGACTTCTGTGTTTTTCTAAGAAAAATTTTGATATGTGTTTCATGATCCAAGTGACAGAGTTCTCAACATGCAATTTCCATGAAGAAATTCAAGCAGTTACAGTTTGTGCAATCAGAGTCTAATTGTTTTTAAATATAGCATTGCTTCAACACTTAGGAAGGCTAATAGCACAAGAATAACAAAACTTAAGACAAAGTGTGCCACCACCTCTTCCTCACCTTGCCAAAAAAAAAAAAAAAGCTGAAAAAACACATTCACAGAGAACAAATGATGCACTGTATTTCAAAAAGAGCTCATCAGTGAACAGATTACAGTGCCTTAAAAAGAAGAAAATAGCACACAAAGCACACAACAATTGGATTCTTTTTGATTAGTGCCAGAATACAAATAATTGCAGTGTCTGAGCCTGCTGATCTTAAGCCCAGACTTACAAGATGCTGCTGAAACCCAGCAGTTGTAATTCATCTAACAAGATATCCCCAAAACAGTCTTTAGTACAGGAGGGGCGAGGGGGAAGGCACTTTTGTGATGTTATTTAAAAAAAAATAAATAATAAAACCCCCACAAACCCCCAAAAAACCCAAGAAACAAGAATAATATTTGAGTATAAAGACTAACAGAAACAGCGTAATAAGTGTATATTTTTTCCCTTATAAAATAATGCAGATTTAGATCCCATTTATTCAAGCTCTCTAACTCGGGGTAGGGAGGATTGATACGGGAAGAAAAACAGCCCGAGTATCCAACCACTAAACAAACAAAACAAAAATCAAACCAACCAGAAAAAGCCCAAAACTAAGTAACACTAGACAAAATTTGCATTTAACATTAAGAAATGTGTTTCTTCTTTTATGTAGAGGAATAGTCTCCGCAGAAACATGAAAAAGCTTAAAGAGGGGAAGAAGGAAAGGAGTGGCTACTGAAGGAATACCTCACTAATTTTTAACCCAGCCATTATTTAACTAGTATCTACACTACTAGAGAATCAAAAACATTTTACTATTTAACACATATAATCAGATATTCACAAGTAACAAATTATGCTTAAGTAAGCCAGACACATTAAAATACAACTGGTTTAATTCAACTAATTGCAACCAACATTTCAATTTTTCTTTTGTACTAGCATCTCATGCAGCACATCTAATATTTCTCAAGATAATGAGGAATAGCTTTTCACTTACCACAAAATTGGATCATTAGCCAGCTCACTGAAGCGTTTACACACACAAGCTGCTCTACAGAGATCCTGCTCCAGCAGGTAGGAGAAGATCTTTAGAACCACTTCATCTGGCAACTTCTCCTGAAGATACTGTTCTGCAGGTGCTGCTATTAAACAGTAATCTATGTTAGATTATTGACATATTTTACCAGCCCAAATTCTGACCAAAACAGATCACCAACTGACCATTTGAAAGATTCCCATTTGAAACACCAATGAACTCAAAGCAGCTTTTTTTTTTTTCTTAAGTACATTTCATCTAAATCTAAAGGCAAAAGAGAGGTCAATGGTTGACTCTGGAACCAGGCAGAAGTTACAGTCTTCAAGTCCTCTTTCAAAACTTTGTAGTTCACCTTTTCTGTTGGGGGAATCAATCTGCATATAACTGCAGACGTTAAGTAGGCTACTGTGCATGTTCCAGATATACTGGCTCCTCACTGCTATTAGCTTCACTATGGTTCAATTAATCCATATTATCCATATAACAATAATAATAATGATGATAATCACTATCATCCAGTCCCAAAGTAAAAAATCTCTGCAAATGTTTACAAACACAAAAGAATTTACTCAGAAACATTCACTGTCTGGAAAAGCTCTCAGTAAAACAACTTTGTTCTCTCACAATTAACACCTTAAGAAAAAGGACATCTGGGATGCAGGATACCAGTAGCCAGCAGTAATTCCAAAGTCTCCTTCCACTTACTCCCATTTATGCTCCTTCTTTTAAAATGAAGAATCAAAAGCCAGGGGGTTCTGTTTGCACTGGTCACTTGTTTAGTTATTGTCTTTAGGATCCTTTCTCAGTCAGGACCATACAAGACAGCTTCCAAAGCTTAGAGGATTTGTATGCAAGGCATTAAAAGCTTCTGCTGCATTCATAACACAACTACACCCATGTAATGCCCCTTGCATTATTCATTTTTAACTAGAATATCTGAACCTAGGGAGCAATGGGATCATGATTTTTGGCTATTACAGGAAGACTACTAAAGTGACCCTCAGAAAGATGACTTACTAAATTTGAGGGAGTAACATTCTGAAAAATAGTTTCCATGCAAGATTCCACACACACAAAAAAGCGCCAAGCCTTCCCTGGGCAAAGCAGCACAAATAGCTACGCTATTTCCAGCTAGAAGAGGGAAGATGTGGACTGCAAGGACTAGGACTGTGGCTTTTACAAAGATACTGAACTGTGGTCTACAGACCACAGCACCAGAACCTGTGTACTATGAGAGAACTGATTAAAGCTGTTTTTCCAGGGTGTCATGCTTACATCTGTGGACAGACCACTTAGTGGAAATTCTGAAATATTACTGACTTTGCAGTGACTTTCCCTGAACTTGTTCCTTGTTGCACCATTGTATGAATGTCACCTTGGTGATTCACAGATACTGATTTCCTCTAAGATGCTAGGAGGGCATTTATCCAACTGACTGATGGCTGCTCTCAACAGTAATACTGGTTACAGTCATAAACTATAGGTACATGCCACTTTAGCCCAACAAAAATATACGCTGTACAAAAGGGATGAGTCTCACCATTCCACATGCCCATAGCTATTTGCTCCCAAAGTATCCTTGAGGTTTGTAGCACTGATCATGGACAGAATAAACTAGAATGTCTTCCTCATTCCTACCCATCCTCCTCCAAACTAATTCTCTTATGGATCAGCTCCTTGTTGTAGTTCATTGCAAGCTACAGAAGTGCTAGCATGGGCACAAGAAAGGAGACCAGAAAGAACGTCCAGAAGCTGGCCAAGACAGTGCCCTTCAGCAGCAGTATTGTTAATCCCAGATTAACAAAAATATTTTTATTCAAAAAAAACCCCAACAACAACAAAAACCCCACCAATTGACAAGCTAGGCTGAAGCTAGCAAGTTAATAAAACTAATAAAAAGACAGCAGTCTGAAAAAGCCTGGGGAGCATATACCAGCAGTCCATAAGGTGAGCATGGTTGGGCATCACCAAAAAATGTTAGATGCACAATCAATGCTGTTTTTTAAAAAGGTTCTTTTCCACTGGAGATATAAAGGGTCTTTCCTGTGTCAAACAGGCAACAGCAATTCATTCTACAGTCCTAATTACCCTTGAAACGCATCACAGGATAATTGGACATTGCTTCTGAATTCATCTTTTTCTGGTAGCTTTCCAGTTAGATGTGGAGATACAGTCTTTTACTGTCTTACAAGCCGAAACGCAATGTTGTGAATGCAAGGCAGTAAATCCTCACAAGCCTTCCTGACCTGTCTTCTCCTTTTAACACACAAATCCCTGAGGCATATAAATTTTATCTTCTTCCCAAGACAATCAGTTACTTCCCTAAACAACCTGCAGAAATTTTTCTTCCTTTAAGTTTAAATATGCTAGGACCTTGATGATTTTGTTTTATTGAAGAGGGAAGTTCACTAGTGTAGTGTCTCCCATTGCTTCATACTCCCATTTTCCTCCCTAGGCCCTATCTCAAAATGAAAATTGAAATCCAGATGAGTTTCCTTACCGCAAGGGGCAGGGACCAACTTTGAAAGTGTCAAAAAACTTACTGTGATAAAAAATAAAAAAGTTACAATAAACCCCTCCCACTCCCTACAATTTTTCAAGTTGTATTTACTTGGAAATTTAGGTACTGCTTGAAAAATGAAGATGATGATTTCACAGGTGCTCGCTATCCTCACCCACCTTTATCCAAAATCCTGTAGAAGTGGGAGATTTAATTTAAATTGCCTTTCTACTCAATTAAGAAGGGGTTGATTTAAGATTTCTCCACTCAAATCACTGATACAGTGATTACTAGGTGGAATTCTCCAGTATAATTTGAAAAAGTTAATTTGTTTCTTAATGTGAAGACTTAAATATTCTACAGGCCCAAAAGAGAACTCCATGCTTTTGTTTTCATAAATTCACACTTCACTTTTAAGGTATCTTTTAGTAATCTGTCAAAGCAAGCACGCATTCAATATGTTGTTCCTCCCAGTTTAAAAAAATAAGCTGAAACAGTTTTAAAGGTTTGTCCGACCACCAAATCAGAAACATTCGCATGCTGCTACTCCTGGCAGTTTTATGCCTATTGACAAAGTGAAGGTTAAGTATGAAATGCATACTCCTATAAAAACCCCTGACACTTCTCTAAGTAAGTGTTAAAAATAGACAAGAATAAAAATAAAAACAAAGTGCAAGAGGTCATCACCAATCTTTCTCTTTGCCCTAACGTAAGTTGAGAGTTGAACTATTTATGATTTTAATAAAGTGTTAATATACTAGACAATTGAAAATTAGAAACACAGCTGGTTATGTCATTCTGTTTCCACAGGATACGTGTGAAGCTAATTCAGTTTCAATTTTGATCATTTAGTAGATAGAAACTAGTATAGTAACACCAAGACAGGGAAATCAAGGGCAGGGAAAGCTGTCTGAAAGTGAATTGCCTTCTTTCTACAGAGCCCAAGAATGCCATCCCATGAATCCCAAATTGTAAATTACATCTTGTTTGGATACCTTTTTTGTCCATTTTAGTGAAGAAGATGAAGACAAATAGCTTTTGTTCCATAAGGAGGTATTAAGTAAAAATATTTTCTTGTTAAAAAGCAGAAATATGTCTGAAAACACAGCATGCAGTGTTCTTGGAAAACTGACTTATAAATCAATAGGAGGAGTCAAAAACAAATTTTAAAAGACAGCAATTTCTGTGAACTATGAGGTGTGCATGTACCTAGTGTACGGAACAATCAATGAGTGAACCGGGAACCTAGAGTCTTAGTTTCAACTGCAACTCCATAGTTAGGTGAAAAGAAAGAAGTTACTTGTCTCTGAAGTCTTCCAAAGATGGTTAAAAGTCAGCAAAGAACTGCCCAGTATAAAACAGATATGCAAATGCAGTGATCTTAAAGCAAGAGAGGAAAAAAACCTACGCAGTAATAAACAGAAAGGAAGAGTATGTCAAATGATTAAACCCCTGGATTAAAATGGCACGATGAGACAAGAGGTACTGAAGACTGAAATATCCTGGTAAGTGGAAGCATACATTTACAGTTGAGGTAATGTAAGGAAAATGTCAGAATATGCTAAATTTAAATCGTACCGTAAATCAAGAAATATTGTATTAGCATATGATACAAATATTTGAATTGGTAAGATCTAAAAGCTGTAAATGTTTTCTACAGATGTCAAATAAATGCTGAATTTGTTGGTTCACCAGTCTTTTGTGATGTAAGCAGCACAGCTCCATCATACCTTTTTTCTTATCTAAATTTTTGGGTTTCTTCATTTTTTTGTGTTCTACTTAAGAGACTAAGTGAAAAAATATTTATATATTTTCTATAATATGTTACTGTCTCATCAAGATTCTTGCATATTCATTAGCCTTTGTGTCTCAGGATTGTCCAATGCAGAGACGACTGGAGAACAGGGTTGCAAATAATAGAAAAAAACATGTCAATATTTCATTCTATTCTAATTTCATTCTAATGTGTTCTTCTCAGGTATCTGAGACTGATTTTTTTTTTTCCTTACAATTTGAAATAGCAATTCACTCTCAGCAGCACTAATTCTGAAATCAGTATTAAAATAAGGAATACTCTTCTCTTTTTCCAACTACTGGCTCCGCTCCAGTTGGAAACTCTGACTGGCATTTCTCCTTTCATCTCCGCCAAATTTCCTCAACTCAGAGTCCATCCAAGAAGGAATGGTTCTCCACCAAGATATTTTCCTATATTTTCAGTCCCACGCCTTCATCTACAATACTAAAATAAACAGCTATATGTTCCAGATGACAATATACAATCTCCACTGACGACAATCCAGAAAGTCTCATGCTTACAACTCAGTCGCAACAGCTGTCATTATCTATGCTAACAAAAACCAGGAAAAACTAAGTCTCACCACAATCAGTACTTGTACAAATTTAGAGGAATATCTCAGAAACTCAAAGGGAAAAATAAAAAATAACCATCATCCATACCGAGAAAGAGATTAATAGAAAACAGGTTGAGAAGGGCACTCCCTTGTTAAGATTGCGACTGGTTTGAATACAATCTTAAGAGTACAATTACAAAATCATTGTTTACAATTCCTCTGGTAATTCCATGCTGGAAAATCCTCCACAATCCCTGTCCTTTCCCCACATGGGCTCAAGAATGTAACAAAAGGAATGCACAGCGAAAGTGTGGATAATTCCTTTGGAAATTAGTGTCATTCATGCTGTAATTTGTACCACAGGACTCAAGTAAAGTTACATACCTTCACTAAAACAAGGAGGCAGGTAAAAGCGTAATGAAGAACACATCAAAAGTGAATGACCTTGAAGAAAAACTAAGAACTGGCAAGAGAAACCGAGTCTATGACAAGATGACTTTGCGCAAGGCTTCAGATATCAAATCAGGAAATGAAACTGGAAGTAGAATGACACAGGTTGCTATTCAGTTGGTTCTGGCTATTTCAAGGATATAAATCTGAGGTTAAATGATTAACAGTTGCTGAAATTAAAAGAGTTAAGGTGGGGGGGGAATAAAACAAGGGGAAGAGACAGAGGGCTTGAAAGATAAAATCTACACTGTGGAGAAGGTGAGAAGCCAGAAAGGGCAGGCTTCAACAGAAGCACTGAAAACTGACCAAAGCCTTGTGCCAGCTGCTCTGTTTTAATTCACAATGTTAAGGGAAACATGGACTAAAAAAACTCCAAGAAAAGCAACAGAAACCACATCAATGGGAGTTGGCAAGCGTTGGTGTTGATTTTCCAGGGAAAACTGACAGCGGATCTCCTGAAACTAAAGAGTGTGTCAGGATACAAAAACGGGTAGAAGCAGAGAGACTGAAAAAATGACGTAGAAAAAAGAACAAGTAGGATGTGTGCCTATATGTGTGTGTGCATGTACAAATAAAGAATACACGCACATTATATACATGTATTGCATGTATGTGTTTATTATGCAATGTACATATACTGTATACGTGTGTGAAATATACGTACATATACGTATGTAGGTATATGCAAACTTTTTATTTATAAACACACACAAACTCTCTCCCTCTCTCCACAATGAGGTGCTTTAATGACATACCAAAACAACCTCTAAACAATATACTGGAACAATACATCAATACGAGAAGTGATAAATAAGCCTAGTCAGAGTGCTGCACCATTGCGGCATTACTGCTTCTAACAGTAGGTTGGATATAACTACACAGCACTGAAGTGAATAAAAACCAAACCAAACCTGACAAAACCCAAACCAACATGCCTGCAAGTGAGGCAAGCAGACTAAAGGACCAGATTCTAAAAATCAGATTAAAATCATGCTTCCTAATTTGAAGTTCAGAACAAGTTTGTGATTGTTTTTTTCAGTACTGTTTCTTAGTTGGAGAACAGACAGGAAAAAGAAGTTCAGGGGTGGTGTGTGTGAAGTCAAAGTGTCTCCACCCCTTTTCCCCCACCCCTGTTTTTTTTGTACAAAGAGTTATTACCTGATAAATCCTGGGATTTTCCAGATACTCTGGCACGTTTAGCTCGGTGACCAAAGTTTTCAGTAGCTGAAGTGGAGGCACCCTTTAATGAAATAAATAAGAATTAGTCCAGTCATCAGGTAACTTAGGAAAAAGTACTAATTAGCTCCCTATTTTTGAAACAGCAAGATTTACTTTACAATTAAAAACAAGCAAGTTACCTCCATACTGCTCTTTGTAGGGCAAGCTGTTCTTTTAGGTAGAAGAGTTTTTCTGCGAAGTTGGTATGGACTATTTTGTGCACCAGGACCTGATTCTTCTGCAACCATATCTGCAGGTACATCATCATCTGTCAACAAAAAGGGAAATTTCTCATTAGAATTGTAGCTTTGTTTTATACCAGAAAAATGCTACAAAAATTTTCTGATAAATACATCCAGTCAGGAGGATAGGGAGAAAGTGCTAGAGCACAGAGAACTTTTAGTAAATAAATCAGAATATACACAGCACACATAAAATTACATGAGAAAGTACACATGAATTAACTTCGGTTCTCCATGTGTACAGAGCGACTATACGAAAAGCTGCTTAAAAAACCCCCTCAAAACCTACGCTTTTGGTTTTCCTTGCAAGTATATAACTCAATGTGCTAATTCCATCACCTGATAACCTCAAATTTTTCACGTAACACTATCAGCATAACGAGGAACACTGGAGTTTCAATTATTAACTAGATGTTATCAAGAAATCCTTTAGTAAACGTGTCATTTAGTACAAAACTCAAGGCAGAATTTTCCCCAAACGTTTCAGGAATAGCCCATGCAAATCCTTCTGTAAAATGGAGGCAGCTTTAAAAACATACAATATGTTTGCCTAAATTATACTTAGAAATGTAAGAGTATATTCTCTCCCTGCTCTTAAAAAAAAAAAAAAAAAAAAAAGGGCAGAAAGTGGGATGAGTGTAATTTTAAAAGTTTTTGATTCATTAGTTTCAATTTTCCATGTTCATGTATTCATAGAACATACTCAAAACAAGCAAGAAATAATTACTTTCCCCTATATGCCCTACAACTAGCATCACGTAATAAAGTTACAATAATTTAAAGAAGATCAGAACAAAAACTGTCTAGAAAATAAATTAAAGCCCAGCTCCACTTAAGAGGTATACTTTCTGCAGACGCTTAAATGTGAGAAAAGAATTTCAGACTTCCTTTCTGTTTTAACTGCTTTTTCATTTTAAAACTGCATAAAACATGATGTAAAAGTGATAGCCAGAAAAGCAATACTGTAGAGTAAGCAGTTTTCCTGAATATATTAGAGTGAAGAGAGACCGATGTCAGAAAAAACACCAACCAACCAAACATACCCCCTCCATTCAAATATTAAACCAGTGCATTTAGAACTTTTAAAATTGCTTTTCTTTGTGTTTTAAAGATTCCCTTACATTTCAAGATCTTAATCTCATGATTTTCCTGTGGGTTTTTTCTGGAGGGATTTTTAAATAAAATTACAAAACACTGCATTTCTATAGGATTATGCATGCCATTATAGCCCAAACTGCTACATCAGTGACAGCTAACCAATAACATTCTGAAGAAAAAGCTATTTCAGTGTCCTCCTGCTCTTTTCTGGTCCTAGTTTTCCCTCTACCTCAGCAGATATTTATAACTTGCAAACCTTGCCACGTATCATAAACGTATCACAATGCTGCCAGGACATCTAAATAGAGGACAGAAGCTGGTAAAAAGATGAAGTTAACTGGTGGCATGTGCACAACCTCATACAGTCAGCTCAGGGCCATCTAGGAGAGTGTCATCAGCTCCTTAATCCACCTGAAAACTAACCCTGCAAGAAGTACCTCCATGATCAGCCTTCAGCCAGCACAGCCACAAGGAGGGGACAAGACCCCATGACTGGGAAGAACCACCACCCCCTTTGCAGCAGCAGCACGGATTTTTAAGGACAGAAGCCAACTGCGAAACTCTTACTAAAAACCCACCACTTTGTAAAACAACAGAGCAACCTCCATAACTTCAGCTAGAAGCTAGCTCACTCTCCCCATCTGCTACTTACATGACGTACCTCACTAGCATCTGAGCACTTCTCTCCCTATGAAGGATAAATATTTATGCATTATGCAAAAAGCCTAAAGGACATTGATAGATGAACTGCAGTGCATTTTCCTGTGAAAAAGCATCTGGCCCAGCGTTGGCATCGTGCACCTGTGGGAGGTTACTGACCCCACAGCAGACTCCTTACATACTCACGATTCAGTTGCCTAATTTTACCTGTTTCTTTTCGTCTGACAGAAAACACCCTGCCAAGTTAACAAGATATCAGCAAGAAGAAGGGAGAGAAGCTGCTATGGGAGAGTTCCCAGCCTTCCCTCGCACACCAGAGCGGGAGAGGAGCTGTGGGACTGAAGCAGGCCCTGCCAGGAGGGGTTCAGGCAGCCACCGGCAGCAGCAAGGCACTCTCACAGCAAATCACCCCAACGTACTCCAACACTGCAGCATCTATCTACTTTGCATCACTTCTGTTTAAGATTCGATACAGTAATTATGATTTCTGTTGCTAATATAACCCAGAAGCATGCTACTCAGGGATCACCTTAAGTCCGTTCCCCCGTTTTGCACTGAAAACACAAAATGACTGTCAGAACAGTGGTGGGGGGGTCCGCTGTTCTGGATGGTTAGTACAATCGTTCAAAATTGCCACACAGAACAAAGCAAAAGCATAATGAGCAAAGAAAACGGGGGTGGGGGGGGGGAAATCACAAGCACAGAATTTTGATCCGTCAGTAGGCAACGAGAAGGGCAGAGACAAACCCCAATGAAGTCCTCAGCTGTGGAGGCCACTAAGGACAAAATGTATTACTGCTAGAAAGAGAAGGTAGAAACCTGTGGGGGAAAATGGAACCGAAGGTCAGTTTGGCTGAAACACTGAAGGACTGGCTAAGCAGGAAAGAAATGTATTCATTTTCTTGCAGTGAATTTCAGAGGATGGCAGGAGTCCCGCTCGAAGATCACTTTTCTAGCACAGATGTCATTACAGGATATGCATGCATTCACTCAGATTCACAGCACGTATCAGAAGAATTAAAATCTTCCTTTTTTCCATCCGAGCAGCAAGGAAGATGAGAGAAGGGCACCAGGGCAAAGCACAAGTCACACAGAGCGTGGGAAGCAGAAGGGTGCCTAGGGCACTGCCCAGCAATACCAGTGCCAGTCTGTGCAGTGGTGCACATGGAACATATCATAACAGCAGCTCACCTATCGTGAGAGCAGCTCACAGGGAGGAGAGTGCTTCAGGAAACAAGAGCCTCTGGCCTGGCCCTGCCACGAACCTGCTAATTGGGTGCAATTAATTTGCTGGCTATAGAAGGATAGTCAGGCGAGTTAGATGACTTCTCACCAGCAGTTTTTGCGATGCGTCTGAGGGGCTAGCCAGCTTCTGCATGGATTTCTAATGTTTCAGGAACGGTAACAACTGATAATATTTTTCCAAATGCAGTCTGTCGTTACTGTCAAGTGAAACACTATCAGGAAACCTGAAAGTCTGAAGTGATCTGTTACAGCAGTAGCCTCGGTGCTTGTTTTTAGCCTTCCAAATGCTCCACTGTAAGCTCTGAAGAGACTAAACCAGCCACAGTGCTAGCTTTCAGGTAAGTCTTGAAGTATTATTTCCCGACAACTGCGCGTTACCCTTCCCTGAGCAATCTGACACCACCTGTAATTCAGACTGGGAACTAAGAGCTGTATTTTGAAAATCCTTCTCAAAAAAACCCCAACCAAACAACAAAAAACCCCACCACACCCAAAAAAGCCCCCACACTCACATAATAAACATACATCTGCTTTAAAAGCAGAAAAAGAACCTCAGTGCCTCCAAAATATTTTGAATAACCCTATTTTAAAACATAACAGTATCAGCTAACAACATAAAAACATAAAATCTAACAACATAAAAAAGGCATAATAATCACATTTGTTGATAGTAAAAGTATAAAAAGTCATTAAACAAATTCAAGGGAGTGTGTGTAATATTAATACCCTCATTCAAACACCTGCTGAAATGAGCACCAGATGCTGTCAGAGTTTTAACCAAGTCAATATACTTACAGTTTTTAAGAGATTAAATTAAGCTGAGTTTGAGTCTCTCAAACATTTACCTGAATATTTTACACCAGTTACATATTAAGACAAAGTAATTTCAAAACAAAGTAATGTTTATTGAAAATTAAAAACCTTAGTGACACTGACAGGTCAAAATCTAAATTTAAGTTAAAAAAAGCTTTTTATCCAGTATTTCAAAATGGTTCATGACACCTGAACCGTAACACTACAAGCTTTAGCTATCACAAAAATCAAGACCACCGGTAAGCACAAATACTTCCAGGAGAGGAAGAAAATAAAATTAATCTGCCACTCTATCAACTGCTATAATCAAGACAATCTTGTATTTCCACAAATGCTATGGAAGCGTGTACTTTTAAGAATGTACATTAAAAAGTACAAAATTAACTATTTTTTGTTTCATACAGACATTGCAAGTTACAGAGAAGTGACAAAGGACTGCCAAAATAATTGAAAAAACCCACACAGATCACTTCTAGAGAAAGTTTATCATGTCCACACCATCTTCTTTAGAAAAACGTGTGCATGTGGTTTCACTTCTACCTTACATGTGTTCAGGTAATATTTCCAGAAGTTGTCTTACATATTAACAATAACTGTTGTGAAGACAGTAAGGCTGATAAAAGCCTTTTTTTTTTTTTTTTAAAAAAAAGTATTTAAAACCCCCAAAATACAGTCTTATCAGAAAGAAAAAAAAGAGCGGATTTCAAGGGAGTAAGGTCATACACTAGTCTGTAATGTTTAATCACTTAGTTTTAATACTGCAATTTCACTTTTTTGTGCTGTTTTTCCATACCTTCCCAAAACAGGCAAGGGAGGGTGGACAGGGCACATGGACACGGAATGTGCACGACAGGACACAAAACAAAAAGAAGGGGTTTTTTTTTTTACTATTTTTGTAGTAAAGATATGTAAAATACTGGGGGTGGCAGGTATTCCCAAACAGAAACAGCATGGAAATTGTTCCTGCAGACTAGGGTAAGAAAATGGTGATAAACCTAATCAACTACTTTTAAAAATAGAAAAATTCATGTCAAATTGGGAGTAGGACCTGGAAGAACACCTCTGAAAAATAAGGTTAAACCATACTGAAGCTATATGAACATTATCATAATATATATCATTATATATAAAAGTGATAATTCATCTTGCCTATCAGGCAAGTTTCAACAGTACCAAGAGTTCATCATACAGTGTCTTAAGTAGAA